TAAATCCAATGCATTTTGGCTGTCATTAATGCTCCCACGGTCCTGGAAGTGCTGCTAAAAATGTGGCCTCTTTAATATGTAGTAATTAAGCTTGTCTTTTCGTGAGGGTCACAAGTATGTTGCCTGGTGTGCTCAAAGCTGTGACAGATACACTTGGAGTAGCCAGCCATGGTCTCCTGTTAACTCATAATTAGGGGAAACCAAGGCAGGCCTTACAACACCAGCCTCTCTACATTCTAGTCAGCTCATCTTAACCCAGGAGTTTAATACAGCATTAAAAATAGACTCTGCATTCCTGTTATGTTAGAAATAAATATAGACCCTCCAAAGCATTGTGTCTCTATTTCTAGAGGCAAGACTCAGGGTTTTTAAATCACATAATGGTTATTTCTCCAAACTAAAGTAAGGAATATGGAGGCTGTTTAGCACCCATTGTGGCGACCTTTTAGCTAATCAGAGTTATTTTTGTCCCTCTCCTTCCAAATTTACAAGTCAAGATTTTACAGATTTTTCTCCAAGTTATTTAAATAAGCAATGATGGAAAAAATTCTCATTTTCATTTTTAGATAGGTGTGAGTTCGTGACTCCTCACTTCATCATGTAACGGATTGAAAGAAAGCTGAAGTGTGTGCTTTAGTCACTTTGTGTCGATAAGTTTTAAGTTTGAAAGGAAAGTGACTTTTTAAACCTGCTAAGGCATAGCTATCTTTTCCCATGTTTTCAAGCCGTGCAAGTGCTATAAGAGTCAACTGAATTGGCTTTATGTCTTTTTGAGTGCGTGCCTCCAGCATCTGCCTCATCCCTGGAGGATGAGCCCCTCCAGCATCTGCCTTGTCCCTGGAGGATGAGAGTCTCCAGCATCTGCTTCATCCCTGGAGGATGAGCCCCTCCAGCATCTGCCTCATCCCTGAAGGATGAGCCCCTCCAGCATCTGCCTCCTCCCTGGAGGATGAGCCCCTCCAGCATCTGCCTCCTCCCTGGAGGATGAGCCCCTCCAGCATCTGCCTCCTCCCTGGAGGATGAGCCCCTCCAGCATCTGCCTCATCCCTGGAGGATGAGCCCCTCCAGCATCTGCCTCATCCCTGGAGGATGAGCCCCTCCAGCATCTGCCTCCTCCCTGGAGGATGAGAGTCTCCAGCATCTGCCTCCTCCCTGGAGGATGAGCCCCTCCAGCATCTGCCTCGTCCCTGGAGGATGAGAGTCTCCAGCATCTGCCTCCTCCCTGGAGGATGAGAGTCTCCAGCATCTGCCTCATCCCTGGAGGATGAGCCCCTCCAGCATCTGCCTCGTCCCTAGAGCATACTAAAGGATTCTGATATTGCAGTAGACAGAAGGGATTTTGGCAAGTGGCAAACACTGCCCATTAGCTGAGATGATAGACTGTAGTTTCGCCTCTTTATGACAGTGATAGCAGGGAAAACAGGGGCTTGATGTTTCTTTTAAAATAGTGGAACTACTATCTAACACAAAGTTTGTGTATGTACTGGCAAAGGACACCATCATTTGAGCAAACAGGTAGCTTACAGAATGGGGAAAAATCTTTACCTATTATATATACCAGACATAGGATTAGTATCTAGAATATACAAAGAACTATAAAAACCCAAACATCATGAAAACAAATAACTTAAAAAGTGTTTAGAACTAAGCAGAGAATCGTCAAAAAAATGAAGCACAGATGTCCAAGAAACACTAAACTGTTCAACAATCTTAGCTACTGGGGAAATGTAAGTTGAAAACACTTTGAGATTTGATCTTACCCCAGTTAGAATGGCCAAGATTAATAGGGAGACTGTGGAGGAAGGGGGACATTTATTCATTGTTAATGAGCGTGCAAACTGGTACAACCACTATGAGATTCAGTAGGGAAGTTCCCCAAAAACCTAAAATTAAATCTACCACAAGACTCAGCTATATATACAACTGTATATACAAAAGGACTGTACATATACTTCAGAGAAACTTGCTTATCCATATTCCTTGTTGCTTTGTTCATAATAGTCAGAAATCAGAACCAACATAGACGTCCATCAACTGCTAATAAAAATGGTGCATCTCCACATGGGAAGATCATTTGGGTGTTAAAGAGAAATGGAATTTTCAGGTTAAAAGCTATAAACAACCACCCTGAGAGAGGTAACACAGACCCAGAAAGACAAATATCACGTTTTCTCTTCTGTGTGAATGTTAGCTTTTAACATTTAAATGTGTGCTTTATTTTATTTTTAATGATTTGTGTGTATGAATGTGGGAATGCTCATGCACGGTATCAGCTCCTGGAGCTGGAGGTTAGGCCGTTATGAACCAGCTACATGGGAGCTGCCAATTTGCCTCCGATCCTCTAGAAGATCATCAAGCACTCCTAACTGCCGAAGTGTGTTCTCTTTAATTACTACTTGTTGACATGATTACTCTCGAAATGTAGTCAGGTCATAATTCCCCTCGATCAGACTAATCAGACTATCACACTGCAATTGACCCTATATTACCTTCAAATTGTAATTGACAACATATACAAAGAATTCAAGAAATTGGTCATCAAAAGAACAAATAACCCAACAAAAAAAAAAAAAGAGTACAGACCTAAACAGAGAAATCTAAAATGGCTGAAAGACACTTAAGAAAATGACATTTCTAGATTTATAGCACATTAAGTATAGTGTTGATGTAAATAACACCTTTACTTGTCTTATATCTAAAACTGGATGGAAAACTCCCTAATCTCCAGTAAGTTAGTTGGAGACAGAAAGTGCATCCTCTTCCTGTCGTAGTTAGGGGCCAGTAAGAAAGTTGTGTGTGGGAGAGAATGAAAACAAGCAAGATAAAGAGCTAAATTGTATGCTCAATACTTTGTCCGTTGGCATTCTGATGATAAATACCTGATTAGAGTGAGAACTTAAAGGAATAATTATTTTCATTAGCTGCCACTGTTAAATGTTCCTGGATTGGAGGGACTTTATCATTAAGATGGTATTATGATGTATAGATTATATCTGCTCTCTTACAAAATACTCAGCATAGATACAAATTGACAGACATGATGCTTCTAAAATTGTTGTAGACATGTAAGAGGCCCAGAATATTGAGCCAACATGGAAAAACAAAACAAATCTGGAAGACCCACACGTTATGATTTCAAACCTTAGTGCAAACCTAAGTCAGAGCTGTGTGGTGCAGACATGAGAACGGTCACAGTTCAGTGAACAGAACTGGAAGATGAGACCAGTAATAATATGACCCTACACATCAGTAGATGCTCCCAGTCATGTTGCTGCCGGAGGACCTTCCGCTCCTTCAGCCAATAGCTGTTGAAATACCAGCCCACTGGGGCATGGTCTATTTATCTTTAAAAAAGAGCTGTAAGCCTCGGCCAGCTCTCTTGGTTCCTGCGCTTGGTTACTGCTCCTGCTCCGGCGACTAGGCTCCTTTCCTGAAGGTTGGTGTTTCGTGAGTTTTACCCCCCCTAAATAAATATCCCTTTAAATCATAACTGGTGTGGGATTAATTTGCGCAAAACATGTGAGACTATTAATAATATGACCCTACACATCTGTAGATGCTCCAGTCATGTGAGGCCAGTAATAATATGACCCTACACATCTGTAGATGCTCCAGTCATGTGAGGCCAGTAATAATATGACCCTACACGTCTGTAGATGCTCCAGTCTTGTGTCAGCATCATGAGGAAAGGGTACTCCAGCTAGAAAATCATAGCTTCAATCCTTCAGGCATCTGATTGCCAACCTCACTTTTCAGAAACTAGAAGAAATATTGTAATTTTTTCTAATCAATAAAGTTTTCAGATAGTTTCTTACGTAGTTTTGAAAAACAATATAGTTGTTTCTCTGAGAACCACACGCAAAGCTTACTGTCTTAGAGACAGATAAAAAGCTAATGACCTGGGCATAAATATGTTTATCAAATATCTTGATATTCATCATCACCACAGGTTCAAGAATTCTGTTAAATCTTTTGACCTAATTCTTTGAACTTTCCCACTTTTGCCTTGTTTGTTCTGTATGAACTTATCAAGCCCTTCCTAAGGATAACATGGACAGTAAAACTTTCATATATTTATCTTTGTAAAGATGCTTTACCTTTAACTTATAGATTGTTCTTTCTTTTATTTATCCATGTGGAAACCAGAAAATTGAGTTAAGATAAATATATTTCACAAAATGCAACTGTTTGAAATGTTGTTATCCATTTAAAATGTAAGGCATTTTTAAAAACAAATCAGTTTAGGGAGCTATAGAGATGACTTAGAAGTTAAAAGTCCTTTTCGCTCTTGCAGAGGACCTATGTGTGATTGCCACACCCACTCGGCGGTTCACTCAGTCACTCACACCTCCATTGACTTCTTGTGACCTCTCTGAACATCAAACACACACCTAATTCACATACAAACATAGGAAACACTCACACAAAAAAAAATGTTAAAAAAAAAATCAGGAGAGCTGGGCGTGGCCACATGCATGACTGGGATCCAAGCATTTAGGAAGCAGAGGTGGATCCCTGAGTTCGAGGCCAGGCTGATCTATAGAGTGAGTTCCAGGACAGCCAGGTAACAAAATTTTTACCATATATTTGCTTTTTTTTTTTTCTCTCTTACATTGCTTCGTGCTAAGTGCAAGCACATAGAGGTGGTTAAAACTTGTTTCTCACCACTTAACACTGGAGCTTTCTTTTAGTAGTTTTTTTTTCAAACTGGTTTAAAATACATTTCCAAGCCCAAGGCTGAGTAGCAGGAAGCTAAGCGACATATTCACCAGTTTTTAGCATAATGCCTTGTGCAAATGGCCCATTTGAGCGTTCCAGAAACCAAAGAACAGAGAGAGCGCATAGAAAGCACAAGAGGATTGATATCTGGTTCCGTCTTAAAGATGGAAGCGAGCTGTCCACATCAGGGCCAAGCCATCTCCTCCCTCAGTTGAAGCTTTGTTCAAAGCTTCAGTTCTGTGTCTGCAGCATCTACACCCTGTGACTTTGCTTCATTCCAGGATTCCACCCAGAACTTGGAAAACAAAGAAGCTATGAATGGTGAACAGACAGAGCTGCTAACATCACACAGGACTACGGACACACTGAGGTATTTCTTCATGAAAATAGAAGGTTCTTATCTAAGTACATTTGGCATTCTTTTATTGAATGGATTTTAATCATTCTGATTTTGCAGGGAATACCAGAAAAGTAGGACTGTGTAACAAAGCGCATTTTAATTCAAACATAGGTTTCTTACTACTTTCTCCTAATTTCTACATAAGATATGAGGATATTCATGGAAAACATAGATGTACAAATAATCCTCGAGGCTTCTAATACTCTTTTACATCAGGACTTTGTTTCTTTTTCATTTTTATACATTTATATCATCACTTTCCCCTTCGCTCTTCTCCCTCCAACCCTTCCCGTTACCTCCATCCACCTACCTCTACGCCCCCCTCAAATTGACAGTCTCCTCCTCTTCGGTAATGGTTCACACACATATATGTATGTATGTGTGTGTGTGCACAAATATGTAAATACAACTAAGTCCACAAACATGTATATGGTTTCAAGGCTAACTAGTGTGCAGTGAACAACCAGCGAGGTCTCTCATCCCTTGGAGAAGCCCGTTCTTCCTCTCAGCGGTCAAGAGCTGCCTGTAGTTCCTTATCTGCTGATTCTGCCATTTGTTGCAGTCTTGGTTTTGCAGCCCTTTCTAGGGCAGATGGGTTTACGGTAGACTTCTTGATATTCTGGCCCTCACAATCCTCCTGATTTCGGTCCCTTGACGGTCCCTGATTTGTAGATGGACCATGCTGTAGGTCAGACGCTGGGTCTGGCTCCCCACGACTTGTTAATCTCTGCATTGTGTCCAGTTGTGCTTCTCTGACATTCTCCGTCTGCTGTGCAGAGAGGCGTCTTCTGTAAGGGAGAATAGGATCTAGCATGCAGTTGGGTGTTGAAATAGGAGCGGCGGGGCTGCGTCCCCGGCACCCAGCCGCCCACATGGCTAGTTTATGCCCGAAATAATTACACGGAAACTGTATTCTTTCAAACACTGCCTGGCCCGGCTAGTTCCAGCTTCTTATTGGCTAGCTCTTATATATTGTTCTAACCCATTTCTAATATTCTGTGTAGCCCACGAGCTGGCTTACCAGGGAGGATCTTAACCTGCGTCTTTCTGGAGCGGGAGAATCATGGCGACTCCTCACTCAGCTTCTTTCTCCCAGAATTCTCTTTTGTTCACTCCACTCACCTAAGGGTTGGCCTATCAAGGGGCCTAGGCAGTTTCTTTATTAATAAGAAATCACTCCCACATCAGTTGGGAAGTCAGCTGGTCTAGCAAGGTGGCTGGTAAACTCTCTTCCAAGGCCCATGACATCACTACCCCCGGGAAGCCGCCTATGTTTCTAGTCCCAGGCCTGATTTCTCTCCTGGGCAACCAGGAGTTTTAAGTTGCCTTTTCTGGTCTTTGCCATGTAGATTTTAGAGCGCTTCAGAGTTCCTTGTGTTTGAATGGTTTGCTTTGCTTCTCACTCTATGAGTAGCTGTGGTAAACTGTGTTTATACAATCTCATAGTATTTTACTTGATGTTTGTGAAATGAATTTGCTCCACCAACCAGGATTACTCATATTGTTATTAATGAAAGTAATGAAAGGAGACAGAGACAGAGACCCACATTGGAGCACCGGACTGAAATCTCAAGGTCCGAATCAGGAGCAGAAGGAGAGCGAGCACGAGCAAGGAACTCAGGACCGCGAGGGGTGCACCCACACACTGAGACAATGGGGATGTTCTATCGGGAACTCACCAAGGCCAGATGACCTGGGTCTGAAAAAGCCTGGGTTAAAACCAGTCTCGCTGAACATAGCGGACAATGAGGACTACTGAGACATCAAGAACAATGGCAATGGGTTTTTGATCCTACTGCACCTATTGGTTTTGTGGGAGCCTAGGCAGTTTGGATTGCTCTTTGGGCTGACGAGGGAGGGGAACTTGATTGGGGTAGGGAGAGGGAAAGGGGAGGCGGCGGTGGGGAAGAGACAGAAATCTTTAATTAATTAATAAAGAAATAAATAAATTTAAAAAAAGAAAGTAACTCATTATCTGGAATCAACTATTAGTCTTCTTAGATCCGATCTCTAATGCCACAGCCATAGGTACTCCCTGGATACAAACCACATCTCCCTACTAATTCATCATTCCTTGCCTCAGTTTCTGGTCTATAAGATAGAAATAATAGAATTGGGGCTGCAGATTTGTTGGAAGAGTGATTGCCTAGCATGCACGAAGCTCTGGGTTCAATCAGCCCCCAGGACTACATAAGCCAGGAGTGGTGGTTCACACCTGTAGTTGCTACATGAGAGGTGGAGCCAGGAGGAGCAGAAGTTCAGCATTGTCCTCCTCAACTGCACAGCTGAGTTCAAGGCTGGTCTTCAGATTGTAACAACAATTAGGATTTTTGTATTACTGTTTTTAACATTAATATTTGATAACATATATAAAATCTTCGAACAACATTTGGGTCAGAGTGAGCCTAGCATTTGATTCTTTTGCTACTATTATTTTCTTTGTTGCAGGTTTATTATCCCTGTACAAAATTCTTGGGGTCAGAAACATTTCAGATTTTAAAGATTCTTTAATTTAAATTTTGGAATATGTATGTAGACAGTACTGATTGAATATGCCAAATTAAAAAATAAAAAAAAACAATATTCTTCAAAATATCAATCACTGGAGCTTTATATTAGTGTTCAAATAGTTTCAGATTTTGAAGAATTTTGGATTTGAAGATTTTTAGACTGGGTCAGATCTCCTTGTATGGTTTCCATTATTGTCATTATTTTCAGTAAGTTGTGTCAATTGGGCATAAGGAAGGTGAATTCACATCTCTCCAGTGGCAGCTTTGGCAATAGAAAGTAGATGTTGCCGTAGCCGCTGCTCATTCACTCACTGATTCCTTTCAAGTCATCATGTAATAGGTGCCATCCAGTCTGCATGAAATCAGCTACTTTCTTCTGAAAAGGTGATCGGTCTCTCTTTATCGGGTGACCATGTAGCTTCTCTCCAACTTTATAATTTTCAGTAACATGGCCACAGTTACTGTTCATTTGAAATCTTTATTAATGAGTAGTGTAATATAAAGCATTCAGTCTAGAGCATTTCCCAGGGCACTCACCTTTTAGAAGCTGGTATGTTTGTTCATACATCTAGTCATGATGGATGGAATGTTCGTGCTTTATTTGGCTTTTTTTTTAAAACATTAGTTTTGGGAAATGTTCCCCAGAAACTTATTGAAATGTCACATCATATGGTATCCAATTGTTTGCTTTGTTTATTTATTTATTTGTTTGATTTTGATTTTTGACTTCAGGAGAAAATTATTTAAGCTTTTTCTAGTTATAGGCAATTGAGAGAAATATCACGAATGACTTTTAAAAATATGTTTATTATGAGTATAATTTTCAAAGCAGCCCCTCTTGTGTCTTATTGTTGCTGTTAGTAGGTGAAGTAACTACGGAACAATTAGCACACTAGAGACCCAGTCCACATCTGCCACTCTGGGCTGCAAACCCACGAACCCAAGCATTGCATGTGCACCTTCTGAGTCCTTGATGCGATTTCAGGCTACAGAACCTACACAGGGCTATCTGTGATGACAGCTATTGCTGGAGCCTGTTCAGATCAAACTCAGGATATAGAGGGAGCCTGGAGTCAAAGGGTCAGGGAGCCTCGTGAAAGGGTGGAGCCTGCAGAGCACTTCCTCATCTGGGCCAGAATGTTGGCTGCTGTGCTCTGGGGTGGGTCTTGTGCAGGTACCCACAGCATTGAGCCCTAGAGTGCAGTCGCTGTGCCCACGTCCAAAAGAAGGCATCTCATGGCGTTCCTCTGCATCACCAGCTTAGCGTCCTTCCTGCCTCCCACTACCTGACACCCGTTGCTGGCAAAGATGTCCAGTGTAGGTCTTCCTATTTATTTTCAACACTTTGAGTCTTCATTGACGGATTCCCCGGGGAAGGGTGGTAGAGTGAGAAGCTTCTGAGATGGAGCTTGAGAGCAGCTTTCACCAAGGAACGTGGGAGTCATTCTCTTTCTCGGGTGTGCCACTGGCACCTGTGGATGGTTCCACACCCATACCCAGAGAGCCAACAGTAATTTGATTTAGTGGCTTTACCAGAAAGGAAAGACAGACAGACATGAAGTTTGGAGAAGAGAAGGTTGGTGGAGATATGGGGTGGTTAGAGTGGAGAAATGGAGATGAATATGATCATATTTCACTTTATAAATATGTGCTATTCTAAAGAATAAAATATTTTTAAAATGTTCATATGCTCAAAAAAGAGGATAAAAATAACCTTTGTCGTGTGGAATGCACAGCTGCTGTGGGAAGCTGGCAGGTTACACTTGTTTTAGACAGTACAGATGATGGTAAATGCTTAAACTAGAAGCCACTTGCCGCTATTGCTGTGTTGGCATCCTCATGTGGAAGGGAAGCCCTGACAGACCCTATAGTTTGGCATAAGAATACGTACGACTTTGGGCTCACTTCCTTGCAGGTAGCACAGAAGTAAATTGTTTGTGGAGACAATGCCACAGTGACTACGCCTGTTCCATGTGCACAGCCATTGCTTCAACCTTTGTTACCGCTCAGGGCAGCTATTGCAATAATTTGCTGCCTCCCTCTCCAATGTGACTCTCTTCTTATTACCTAATTGAGGCTACAGATAAGAACTGAGTAGAAGGTTCTAGTCTGCATTAGCTAACAATTCTTTCAAAACCTTGAAATAGACAACGTCCAGGTTTCAAAACTGGCTTTTTACCTTGCTGCCCGTGCATTGTTATCAAACATCTTTAAAGTAACTCCTTCATGTGGAAAATGACCTTTACTATCATATAGATTCTGTGAAGATTAACCAAGGTACACTATAGGCAGCTAACTTAGTACATTGCTAAATGAAAGGCTGAACAATTACTAATTGCTATTGCAGGTGTCATCATCATTATTACACATTCGTTGTAACTCTGTATTATACCAAACAGGACAGGATCCCCAAAAGCATTTCTGGCACCCAATACAGGTCTTAGAATATAATAGGGGCAC